AGTATAACTTTAAATTACCGGCAACAGAAGATAGAGTATTTTAGCCATTTTAACTAGCATTGAGAAATGCAGCTTTGTTGCCACATGTCACTGGCAACTTGTCTATGAAAGGAATCATGTGCAGCAGGATCAGTTTCAAACAGATGGGAATAGAATAAAGTTATTAAAAAAAGTGCTGCCTATATGTATTAGCCATGAGTACAACATGCATTATCTAATGCATTTCAGTTATATGGGCTGGTCAGAGGAATGATATCTCAATGTGTAAGGAGCCATCTTCATTCACATCCATGATGCACTGTGAGCCATCAACAGTGCTCCAGCACAATCTGTAACCTCATGGCCCGGCATATCCCCCACTCAACCATTACCATCAAGCCAGGGGATCAGCCCTGGTTCAATGGAGAGTGTAGGAGAACATGTCAGGAGCAGTACCAAGCATACCTAACAATGAAGTGTCAACCTGGTCTCGCTACAAAACAGCACTATTTGTGTGTCAAACAGTACAAACACGAAGTGATAGACAGAGCTAAGTGATTCCACAATTAACGGATCAGATCTAAACTTTGCAGGTCCTGCCACATCCAGTCATGAATGGTGCTGGACAATTAAACAACTCACTGGAAGAAAAGGCTCCACAAATGTCTCTATCCTCAATGATGGAAGAACCCAGCACATCAGTGCAAACCATAAGACTGAAGCGTTCACAGCAATCTTCAGCTGGAAGTGTTAAGTGCATGATCCATCTTGGCCTCCTCCACAGGTTCCCAGCATCACAGATACCTGTCTACCGCCAAATCGATTCACTCCATGTGATATCAAGAAATGACTGGAAATTACAAAGATAATAGCTCCAACAATAGTCCTGAAGATATGTGCTCCAGAACTTGCCGCTCCACTAGTCAAGCTGTTCCAGTGCAGCCATAACCTGGTATCTATTGAATAAAGTGGAAAATCACCCAGTTATGTCCTGTGCCCAAAGAGCAGGACAAATCTAATCCGGCCAATTACCGCGCCATCAATCTCCCCTCAATCATCAGTAAAGTGATGGAAGGTGTCAGTAACAGCGCTATCAAACAGCGCCTGCTCAGCAATAACCTGCTCAGTGACGCCCAGTTTGGCTTCTGCCAGGGCCACTCAGCTCCTGACCTCACTACAGCCTTGGCTCACACATGGACAAAAGAGCTGAATTCCAGACGTAAGGTGAGAGTAACAGCCCTTGATATCAAGGGATAACAAGGTGTAGAGCTGGATGAACAC